ATAAATTAGATAATTAATTTAAAAAAATATAATAATTAATAAAATTAAATTTTTATTACATCATGTTATTAAATTTTAAATAATCATAGAAACATAATTATTAAAAAGTCGCCCACATATCTAATATCATCATGTAGAGAAGTGCGGGTCAAACTTTAAACTAGATTTGTGTCGACGTAAGAGCACAGTAGCTTCCTGTGGGTGCTCAAAATCAAACAAATTCATTGGAGGTTATGGCTCAACAAAAATCAAAACCAGTGCATGTATTTCTCAGTCGGTGAACTATTTATTTATTTTTTTCCATATATATTTGATATATTTCTTTTCCTACAAGTAATCATCTGCCATTTGAAATAGTGTTCAATAATTGGTTATAACGTGAGAAAATATGTAAAATGCCAAAGGACGGCTATTTTTGTACAAATATACAATTGCCTTTACGTACATTGTCAACAGAAAGAATAAATAGGGGAAAAAAACGAATCAAAATAAATTTGCTTTGAAGACTATTTTAAAATGAAGCGTTTGTTAGTCCCTACCAGAGTACGTACTGATCATTGACTACTCATAATCTTCAACTATACGTCGTTTCTTATATATACATAATATATATATATATATAGCTTTAGTTGTATCTTTTATTTCATTTTGAAATATCAGCTAATTTAGGGTATTTTGACCATGGTAATAATTTGATTAAATATCCTAATCCCTGCCGTGCGTGCATCCGTTCATTTCACCGATTCGAGTGTTACTGCAGTAAAAAGCTCTCAGAAACAATCACATCTAACTTTTTTGCTACAGTAAAAAGTTCTTATATAAAGTCACATCTCAACTGAAATTAAAAACTCGAATCAGCGAACTAAACGGGCAAAACAACTTTAGCTTGTAAAACATGACTATTTAATTTATGTTTAAACCTTTTCTACTATCTTTACGAATTACTTGTTGGTTACAGACGGTGGAAATGTAAGGTCAATTAGAAAACGAAGAAGAGTCGTTGACAATAGTACGTTTATATCGCAAATTTGAGACACAAATCTTCTGTCTAATTTGGATGTCCTAATTAATGTTTAACTAATGCATCTGTTGTGAAAAAAAATTAAAATACTTTTTAACTAACTCTTTTTTACTTATCACGAAATGATGTGATATAGTATGATTAGTTGCACATCAATTGAGACACTAAATATTAAATAGAAGATCTGAATCACAGAGAAAACCTGCACTTTAGGCAAATCAAGCACTTGCAGGTAGGAATCAAGGCAAATATTCCTTTTGAGCCTCTATCGCGAACACAAATATGAGTAATTTGCGGATTAAATAAAGTTTAATAATGAATAGTCGAATAAAATAATAAAAAAAAGACTTCACTCAAAACGTTCGAGCGAGCTAAAGAAGGGCACTTTTCAAGTAGAGAAGTTGCCTCCTTCGTTCAATCAGGCTAAGGACTAGCGTCGATTGCATTTGTTCTGATTATTACCATGTGAGAGCCATTTATCACAAAACAAAATCTAACTCCCACAATAATTAAAGTAAGCGATGCGTTTAAAAGAGTAGTTTAAACCATAGTTTAAATTTTATAAAAAAAAATACTGTAACAGAATTTTTTAAATTTAATTTATTTTTTTAAGAAACACTTTTTAAAACAAAACTTGAGCTTAAATCGACAAAACAAATGGACCATAAATAATCTATTTACCATCATTTACTATTATATTAAGATATATTTACAAAAATACAAAATATGATTTGATAATTCAAAGTTTTTTTATCATTATAATTTTTATAATGACTCATAAAAATTCATATTGTATAATGAAAAAAAGGAAATTGGCTCTTTAAATTAGAAAGAAAAGAAGAAAAATGTTTTGAAATTTCTTAGTCATGGACATGGCCAAAACATGAGACGGTATTGACACGTCCATTCATGCCAAGAAAAGAAAGAAGAAAAAGATGGGGCTCCAAAAATATTCTTTTTTGAATGCTTTTTTATTATTATTTTTTCCTGTAACTCAAAAAACGACCATAAAGAATGTATATACTGATAAACCACAAAAAAAAAAAAAAAAAAAAAAGTGAAAATTCCTTTCAGAAATGATCCAAAACAGAATGATAAAAGGTATGGGCCAAAGAAGCTCCTCACACGCGACACGCACTTATTTCGTGTTGGCGACTTGGGAAATGGATTTAGAAAAGTATACTTTCCTCTCTCACGTTTTTTTTTTCCTTTTCTCCAAACAACAAAAAAAAAATCCCCTTTTTTTTTTTTTTTTTTTTTTTCTCTCTCTGAACTCTTTTTCTATGGTCCCGTTCGGTGAGCAACATGAAACGTGCACTCTCTTGTGACTTGTGTTAATTTGTGTCACCACGTTTCATCACGCGCGTCACCGGAGCTAGTAAAAGTAATGCAAGGAAAAGAGAATTATTTAAGTTTTTTTAGGGTATATTTTTTAAGCTTTTTTTTAGGGTATATTTACTATCTTATACTTTGTAGATTGAGTTTATCAAAAGTCACCATGTAGGATAAAAAAAAAAAAATAGTAGGTGCAATTTGTGTCACTTATCGTGTTCGTGTCGTACTTTGATTGTTTCTTTCTAATTTACAATTAATCTGAACACAATCCATAATACGAAATTGACCGATATTTTTTATATCAATTTCATGTCAATCCAAATATGTCCTAACATCTTTTTTCCCAACTCCTTGTGAAATTTATGTCATTTTCAAGTCGTGTTGTCGTGTTCGTAACCTATATTACCGCCTTATTAGCATGTGTATTCTTAAGATTGTTTTGTACGTATATTAAATTTATGATTTTCTTTAGGTCGGCAACAAAGTTCGACACTGAAATTGACGAATTACTAGTTATAAATTTGTAACCAAACACGAATTAGATGTTATGGTTTTGAAAAATAAAAAAAAAACGTTAAAATATATATTCAAGATAAGTTTAAAAAGATAAATTCACTTATTAGTATTTTATTTCAGGTTAATCCATAAGTTACAAAAGTCAAATTCTCCAATTCAAAGGATAAAATCGATTGTTGAACGAGAAAAAGTACGTAAAATCAATTGTTGAACAATAAAAAGTACGTGAATTTGAAAATCAAAATACAATTGTGAGAATATCCAAAATACAAACAATACTTTTTCAAAACACTTAAAAAAATAGTAAAAATGCCAAAATGAAATTAGGATTCTCTAATGAAAGTCCCTTTCTCTGGCGGTCCATTGTGATTTATATGGGCCACGTTGGGCATTAAAAGTTTTTTGAATTCAATGTCAAATTGGGCAGGGTTTTGTTTCTTCAACTTCTGGTGTCAGATGGAGAGGCGGTCAATGGCTGTTGATGCTTCATCTAACCAAGAATACACATGAAAAGGAAGCACTAATACCTCTTATTTATTAGACGCCTCCTCAATTGATAGATACAAAAATCATTTAGGGAATAAATTAATAATTGATCTTCTATACACCATACACACATATATACTAATATATAATAGTGATAGATCCTAAAATATTTAATTTTTTTTCATAATAAGAGAAAAGAGTCTTAGTCAAATATTGAGGAAACATTGACAAAAATACTCACGCAATAATCACAAACATTTAATTGTAATAGCGTCACGCATCACGCAGGGGTCCATCTCATTCAAAAAAGTCACAAAAACTAATAATAATTTATAAATGACACGTTCAAAAAAAAGAGAGAGAAAAAAAAAAAAAAACTTTAGACGTCCAAGCATTATGAAGCATATATGTCATATAAGGACTATTAATATACTATAACTACCATTCATAGTTTGTTCTACACCTAAGTCCATTGCATCTAGTAATACAAAAAGAAAAAGAAGGAAAAATACAAACTTCAAATAAGCATATTAAATGGTTTCTTCCCACACCAAAAGGAAAAGGGGAAAAAGTGTATTTTGCACATTTGCACCTAAATTTGTAGGGTTTGACAACTTATCCCTGGAGTTTTTAATTTTGATAGTTTTCCTCAACTTGTAAAATTGTTGTAATATGCCTAATTTTATCAATTTTATTCTAATTTTCTTTATCATATTTACGGTCAAAAGAGTTGAGAAATTTAGAGATTTATGTGAGGATTTAAATGGCAATGTTGGAATTTTCTATCCAATGTACTTTTTTGTCACCAATTTAAGGGGACGTTTGTTCCTATATTCATCCATGATTCATGGTTCTCTACAGTATTTTTTTCTCACAAAAAATACACGTAAAATGAGAATAATTCTGAATCATGATTCTGAATATATAAACCAAACGTCCTCTAAGAGATTTATCATCAAACTAGGGCACATTAACTATAGTTTTACAAGTTGGGGGGAGTAAATTGCTAAAGTTAGAGGTTCATGGGATAAGTTGACAAAACCCTATAAGCTCAGGGGTAAATATGCAAAATACTGAAATAAAATCTACAATGGCGCGTGTTGCCACACTAAAAAAAAAAAAAAAGGAGCTTAAGGAATGCGTACTTCTTTGACAGCGTGGGGGATTAGTAGCTAAGCCACGTAAAACTCGTAACGGTTTTAGGAATTTAACTCTTATTATTATTTTTGAGTGAATTTAACTCTTTTTATTTCTTAGGTGACATGGGAATTCCAGGAAGAAAAAAAAATAAAAAAATGAAAATAAAAAAGAATAAAATGGTGACGTGGCAAGAAAACTGCCCATAACTAGTATTTAACGGACGGTGGATGACATAAAAGCAAGAGGAGACCACAAGTATGTAACGTATCTGAACGTCCTAGAAATAAATTTCAACTCGTTTCTATCTTTAAACTTTGTTCTTTTCTCTACCCCTAAAAATAAATAAATAAATAAATAAATAAATAAAACAGAACAAAAAAAACTTCTGTTCCTTCATCCGTCCAATCCCAGCACACCCAACATGGTCACTGTAGAAATTACTAAACTACCCTTGTTGCCCATTTTAAAAACTCTTTAAAAGATTCTCGAAAAGGCCGTAAAAACTAGAAAGGTTGTTTTGCTATAAAGAGCTTGTTTGCATTAGAACAATACCTCCTTTCTCACTCTCCTCCTCACCACCACCACCCACCCCTCTTGCTTTTGCTTATCACCTCATTTCTAGAGAGAGAAACAAGAAGGGGGAGAGAGAGAGGAGAGAGATGGGAAATTGCCAGGCCATTGATGCAGCAACTCTGGTGATACAATACCCAAGTGGGAAAGTAGAGAAACTGTATTGGCCTGTGAGTGCTAGTGAGATTATGAAGACAAATCCTGGTCACTATGTCGCTCTTCTCATCTCCACCACTTTGTGCCCTTCAACTTCAAAACCCAATGAGGATAATATCGTCAACAACAACAATATTACCACCAACAATCCCAATATCAACGATAATGCAACTACCAACAACAACAATGGCTCCGTTCGTTTGACACGCATCAAGCTTCTCAGGCCAACGGATACTCTTGTTCTTGGCCAAGTTTATAGGCTCATCACCACTCAAGGTTGTTGTTTTTTTTTTTTTTTTTTTGGTCTACATCTTTTGTTGTTGTTTGTGGGATGTTGGTCATGAAGTCTGAGGATATTAATGATTTTTTTTTTTTTTTTTTTTTATGTAGAGGTTATGAAAGGTTTGTGGGCAAAGAAGCAAGCAAAGTTGAAGAGATCAAATAATAACCATATTTCAGAAGGAGGGATGAGAGTAGAGATTGTTGGGCGAGAAATAAAGCCAGTGGCAGCAATTAGAAGATCTGATCAAAATCAAACGGTGGATAACGAACTACACCAGGTAAGGGGTTTTTTTTTATTTATTTTTTTTTTTTTTTTATTTTTATAATAATAATTTTGGGTTCTCTCATCTCATATATGCTTTTTTAATTTTTGTTTGTGTTCAATTGATGCAAATTTCTTATCAAACTTTGAATTCTGTCCTTCTTGAAGCACTCTTTGCATTTACTTGTCATAATTAAAACTTCACAAAACCCAATTTTAAGAAGAGTCAGTTACCCAATAAACAATAAATTCTTATTCTTTTAATTATTAGTGAATCAGCATGATATCAGGGATAATAATTAGACCCCCTTCCCTTAGTAACGGCCCTAATAATTTTTTTTTTGATAATTAACGGCCCTAATAATTAAACAAACAGGGAAACAAAGACTAATAATGAATGGTCCAGCTCTACCTCAAGTTGTGCTAATATATTAGTAAATCAATGAAAAGAATCAATAAAAATGATTGATTAAATAAATGGGGTTCAGTTTTAAAGCATTATTCCTCAAATATTCCTTTTATCATCTACGAAAAAATTAAAAAGAGAAAAAAAAAAAAAAACTCTTAACAACCACTTATCTAATTTAATATATATTTTTATGTGATGATAATACTTCAGGTGAGTAAAGAGGAGCGACAACGACCAAGAACAACTTCTTCAGCAACTGCCTCTGCCACAGCCAGGCCAAGAACATGGCAACCTTCACTTCACAGCATTTCAGAAGCTGCAAGCTGACAACAATGCAAGAAAATGTTTTTTTTTTTTTTTTTTTTTCTCATCATCCAAACACTGCCATAAGCAATTACATGGAAGCAAAACCTGCAGAGAAACTTGACAACAGAAAAGGAACTTCTACGGCAGAACTGTCTCTTTTTCTTAATTACCGATAAGAACTGTTATTTTAACGTTAATTAAAATTTTTAACGATTAAAATAGCAGTTTTTATCTATAATTAGAAAGAATAGTTTCGACCGTAAAAATTCCTGAAAACAATCATTAAAAAAAATGGTAAATTATCCAATGAGGAATGCAGGTATAAGACTGAGTTGGGGTGTACTTAAAAAAACTCTGTTGATTGCAGATCTGACTCTGAGTGAAGGAGATCCATTGTTGTGCATAGGAAAGAGT